GAGAGGGAGGGGGAGGGTGGGGCAAGGTGAGAGGGAGGGATGGACGGGGCTGGAGGTGAGGGGGAGGGAGGGCGGGCAAGGGGAGGGGGAAGGGCTGAGGTGAGAGGGAGGAGGGACGGAGGGGGGAGGGGTGGAGGAGGGAGGGTGGACAAGGGGAGGGGGAAGGGAGGAAGAGGGCTGGAGTGAGGGGGAGGGAGGGAGGACAAGGGAGGGGAAAGGGGCTGGAGATGAGAGGGAGGGAGGGACACGGGAGAGGGGAGGGAAGGAAGGGTTGGAAGTGAGAGGGAAGCCGGGAAGGTTGGAGTTGAGAGGTAGGGATGGAGAGAGGGAAAAGTTGAGGGAGAGAAGGAAGAGCAAGCGGGGATGGAGGAGATAGGAAGGGAGGGAGGTGTGAAGATGTGAGGGAAAAAAAGTTATTTGCTAAAACTACATTTTCTTTGTCTGTCTATGAAATTTGTTCGTCCCCTCTCTACCCCATTCACTTTCTCATTTCTCTCTCTCTCTCTCTCTCTCTCTCTCATCTTTTTCTCACTCTTTCTCTCTCACCCTTCTCACTCCCACTCTCACTTTTTCACTCTCACTCTCCTCTCTCTCACCTTTTCTCACTCGCACTCTCACCCTTTCTCACTCGTCACCCTTTCTCACTTTCACCCTCTCACACTTTTTCTCACTCTCACCCTTTTCACTCTCACTCTCACCTTTCTCACTTTCCTCTCACACTTTTTTCTCCTCTCATCTTTTCACTCTCACTCTTTTCACTCTCTCACCCTTTCTCACTCTCACTCTCACCCTTTCTCACTTCACACTCTCACACTTTTTCTCACTCTCACCCTTTCTCACTTCTCACTCTCACCTTTCTCATTTCACTCTCACAACTTTCTCACTCTCACTTTTCTCACTCTCACTTCTCACCACTTTCTCACTCTCACTTTTCTCACTCTCACTCTCACCTTTTCACTCTCACTCTTTCTCACTCTACCCTTTCCTCACTCTCACTCCATATTTTCTCTCCCTTTCTCATCCTCGCCACCACCATCGTCTAACCTCCTACGACCATAAACACATTTTCTTACCACTATAGTTATCATTACCCTTCCCATCCTCCTCCACCGCTGTTGTGAGTATGGCCATTAAACTTGTTATAAAAATTACGATTACTCTCATGGCGTGTTTTTCTCTGTGGGCTTCGAGGGGATTTAGGTCGCCAATCACAGCGGCCTCTGTGATTGGGTCCAATCCTACAGGTATATTGAAGCAGAGGAACGTTATGCATAATAAAAATGCAATGGCCGATAAGAAAAAATATTTACGCTTTGTGCGTGTATCTATTTGTTTGTCTATCTAGCTATCTACTCATCTATGTACTTGTATATGCGCGCGCGCACACACCACACCCACCACACACACACCACATACATATGTGTATGGTGTGTGTGTGTGTGTGTGTGTGTGTGTGTGTGTGTGTGTGTGTGTGTGTGTGTGTGTGTGTGTGTGTGTGTGGTGTGTGTGTGTGTGTGTGTGTGTGTGTGTGTGAAAAAATATATGAAAAAGAGGCAGATAGACAGCAATTGACAGGCAGACACACCGACTGGAGGGCATCTACATCTACAGTAGTTATTACCTTCCCCTTCGCTCTTCCTTCCCTTACCGAACTCCCTACTTTAGCGTAGATACTTAGTTATCCTGTAAATTATCATAATAGTGGGAGTCAGCGGCCAATTCCGAAGGGGAGGAGGGGGGAAGAGGGGAGGAGGAGGGGAGGAGGGGAAGAGGGAGGGGAGGAGGGGGGGGAGGGGGAGGAGGAGACGAGAGGAGGACGAGGAGAGGAAGGCGAAGGGAGGAGGACGAGGGAAATCGAAGAGAGGATGAGGATGAGAGGAAGAGAGGAGGAGGAGAGGAGGAAGGAGGACGAGGGAAAGGACGAGGAGGATGGGAGAAGAGAGGAGGACGAAGGGAGGAGGAGGAGAGGAAGATGAGAAGAGGATAAGCGGAGGAGGAGAGGAGGACGAGGAGGCGGAGAGGAGGACGAAGAGGAAGAGAGGAGAGAGGAGGAAGAGAGGAGACGAGGAGGAAGAGTTGTCTGGGTGGAAGAGGGGGGGGGGCAGAGGAAAGGTAAAATTGGGGTCATACGTCACAGAAATGAGTATTTTAAGGGCGCGTGTCATGGGGGGGGGGGGAGGTGAGGGTGGAGGGGGGAGTTGAATAGGAAGGAGTGAGGTGGAAAGAGGACGATGATGTGGGAAAGGAGGAGGAAAGGAAGAAAGAAGGAGAATTAAAGATTAAGCGAGACAGAAATGGTTGATAAATAAGGAGATAGAGAGAAAGAATGAAACGGAAAGAGGAGAGAGAAAGGAGAAATACGAGGAAAGAAAAAAAAGGCATTCAAGGATAGAAGAGAAAAGGAATTACGAAGAAAAATATAAAGAATAACGTCCTTTTGGATGGATTTAAGTACATTCTAACTCCATCCACACATAACCCCCTCCCCTTCTGTCTCAGTCCTTATCTCTCCTTCCTTTTCCCTCTGCCCCTCCTCTTCATTCTTCTCTCCCCATCCCTCTCTCCTCTCCATCCCTCTCCTCCTTTCCTACCTCTACTTCTTCCTTTCTCTTCCCTTCCCCATTCCCTCTCTTCTTCTTCTTTCTCCCCTGTCCTCTTTTCTCTCCTTCTTTTCATCCCTCCCTTCCTTTTTTTCCTCCTCTTCCTCTCCTCCCCTTCTTTTTTTCTATTCCATCCCTACTCCCTCCTCCCCTTCCTTCCTCCCCTCCCCGCCCAGCCCCTCCCCTCCATTCCTTTTAAACGTTGAATATTCATACTCGTGCTGGACAGAAATCCCGGGAAGTACCGCTGCTCCGAATAATACAAATCAGCTGTTCCACGTTTTTTTCCCCAAGATTGAATGGCTTGAATGGTACACACGCGCACACACACACACGCACACACGCACACACACACACACACACACACATATATACATGGGGAAGGGAGGTGTATGGAGTAGGGCAAGGGGTAGAAATGAGGGGAGGGAAGGGAGTGTTTTCAACGAAAGTGTTTCGTGTTTTTTAAACATGGATGATTTTTTTCGAAGATTCAGATTGGCGACTTTCGGGGAAAAGTCTTGCAAAAATGACGAAAACAACACAACCATAACAATGTAAAGGGTCATATAAATATCAATAACAATATTGCTGCTGATAATAAAACAACTAATAACAAGGCTAAATGATTACGATAATGATGTTCATAGAAATAATAGCAGTAAAGATAATGAAGATTATGATGATGATTAATATACTCAAAATTGAATATTCAGGACATTTTTGATCTTGTTATCAACATTCCATTCCACTTTCAAAACGCACTGAAAACGCAGCGCGGCCCGGCCCGCTACATTAATGAAAAAAAAAAAAAAACAAGAAAAATAAAAAAATAAATAAATAACAATCGTCATCATATTTTACAAAACATGTATACACCATGCAGCGTCCATTAAAAAGCTGAATCACCGACACAATAAATAAAAATGTGTATGTTAAATTTTCGTTTCTCGTATATAAGTTACTGCTTTAATAATTCATGCGGGAAATTAACTGCTACTGCGCTTTGCTTACTGATACAGAAACACTTCACAAGCACAGGCACGCAGAAGTACGCATGCATAAATCAACGAACATCCATATACATGCGCACAGAGATACTATCTCCCTTTCTCTCTTAATCGTGCACACTTACATGCATACACAGATACGTACACAACTCTGACTCTGTCTCTCGCTCTCTCAGTCTCACACACTCACTCACTCTCACTCCCTCCTCTCTCTCTCCCCTCTCTCTCTTCTCCCTCCCTCTCTGTCTTCTTCTCTCTCTTCTCCTCCTCTCTCTCTCTCCTCCCTCTCTCACAACAAATACAAATGCACACACGATCCAATATAGAGGTTTACATAATCGGAGCAGCAGATCCCGGAACCCGAAGAAAACCGGCAACATGATCTCAAACAACATTCCTTTTATAAAACACAGGGCTAATTATCTTCCAAAATGTATACTTACATGCGTACACGCGCACAAACGTGCATATACACACAGGCACAAATAAGTACACCCAACAAAAATGAAATACACACATAGTGAAAAAAACACGCATACATACAAACACTTACACGAACACACACACACACACACACAAAATAAGCACGTGTAAATACTGACTCTTACATCGATTCGCGCAAACAAAAGCGGTCTTATGTACACACAAGCAAAAGCAGCAAATGTAAACACAGGGAAGAACCTTGAGCGTCGACTCATAAAGCACTACCACCTACAAGTCCCGCCTCACGCAAGCACAGACGCACGCACACAATACGTACACATGATGATCTACTGCAAATATACTTACATAGACACAACTGTATATTCTCGCGTACACAAACGTAGACATTAATGCCGCTCACACATACACGTACACATGATTATCTACTGCAAATATACTTACATAGACAACTATATATACACTCGCGTACACAAACATAGGCATTAATGCCGCCCACACATACACGTACATACACACAGACATACATACATATGAATATCGACCATACCCATGCGACACAGATGTATACATGTATACGTCCTGCACACATACGTACACTTCCTCATTCCAGACTAATAAATGGAAATGGAAATCTACACATAATACGCATATAAGAAAGTACACAGGTGACCTCTCTCACTCTCTCACTCTCTCTGTCTGCCACCCGCCCCCTCCCCGCCTCTTCTCTCTCTCTCTCTCTCTCTCTTCTCTCTCTCTCACACACACACACACACACACACACTCACACATCACATCCTCTATCCCCTACTCCCAACCTTCCCTACACACACATCACACACCAACACACCACCACCTACCCCCCCCACCCCACACATCATCCCCTCCCCCAACCCCACACCCCCCACCCCACACACCGTAAACACCCGAAGAGAGAGAGAGGCGGACTTACCTCGCGCCGGTCGCATTTCCACAGAGAATGGGCTCGCCGAAGTTAGGATGGTCAGTTCCGTTTTCCTTGTACCAATTCGCGGGCTCAGCCACCCACCTGCAAATCGGAGAGAGAGAGAAAAAAAAATGATTAATACGGTGAAAAATGGGGATTGTAATTGGTTATCTGGGAGGGGGGGGGAAATTGGGGAGATGAACGTCACTTGGAAATCGGAGAGAGAGAGAAAAAAATATTACGGTGAAAAATGGGGATTATAATTGGTTATTGGGAGGGAAAGAATATGGAGAGATGAACGTCACACCTGGAAATAGGGAAAAAATACAGACAAAAGGAGATTAGAATTGGTTACTTAAAAGGGGAAAAGGAAAGAGAAGAATACCGCATTTGGAAATAGGAGAAAAAAAACGAAAAAGAGGGTTAGAATTAGTTATCTGAGAGGAAAAAACAATGGAGATGGATACCCCACCTAGAATTCGGGAAGAAATACGAAAAAAAAATCATTTACGAAATACGAAAATACAAAAAAAAGAATCAGTTACTTAAGAGGACAAAATTAAAAATAATATATCCTACCTGGAAATCGGGAAAAAATAAGGAAAAAGAGAAATAATAGGTTATTTTGGGAGGGAAAAAAGGGGGGGGGGGGCGAGATGCAACACCCTTCCTGAAAATCGGGAAAAAAAGTATATGTTAGGATTTGTTATATCGGGGAAATAAAGCCGATAAATAACAAAGTGGAATAGCCTATCTGGAAATCGGGAAAATACGAAAAATGTGTTAGAATGGGGTATTAATTAAGGAGGAAAAAAAGAAGAAATAGGAAAATGCGAAGATTAATATCCTTCCTGGATAATTGGGAGGGGGGGGGGGGTACGAGAATGGGATTGTAAATATTTATTTGAGAAGCGAAATGGTAAAATATGATGTGATAATAAGGAAAAATAAGGCAAGTTTATTTTCACTAAAAATATCGCAGAATTTATAAAAAAAAGAAGAGAAACACACACACACAACCCACACACAAACAAACTCACTTACAACACACACAAATACTCATTCAAACAACAAAAACTTAAAAGAAAAAAAATCAACCCAACATATGCAAATCCCTCCCCTCCCCCGCCCAAAAAAGAACGGTGGAAACAGAAGAAAAGGAAGAAAAATAGAAACAAAACAAGAAAGATAACCACAAGACAGGTGAACAAATCCCAGTATGGTAAGATTCCAAAGAGAGAGAGAGAGGGAGAAAGGGAGAAAGAGAGAAAGAGAGAAAGAGAGAGAGGAAGAGAGAGAGAAGAGAAAAAGAGAAAGAGAGAGGAGAAAGAGAGACAGAGAGAGAAATAGACCAGAGTGACAGAAAAAAGAGAGAGAGAGAGGGAGCGAAAGAACAAAACTGAACGAAATTAACATCCATTACGAAAAACAAAAAACAAAAAAAAACAAAAAACCATCGCCCATTATCTCCGAAACGTTACTTATCACCCTTCGCTACGGCGTTAAAACCCCGTTCTTTTCCCGCACGCCGATATAAACGCACGCACGCCGTCCCCCTCCCCGCGCCGTGCCTCTCGACCTGATAAAGTGGCCAAATGCAGAAATTAAACCAAGTTATCGTTATTCGGGGCTGTGGCTTCCGAAAACGATCGCCAACTCAGCTGAACTCGCTAACAACTTTATGCATCCTCACGGGATTCATGAAGATGAACATGCATGAATACGAGCGAGAACAAACACGCACGTGCATTCAGACATGCATGCAGATAGACATACACACACGCGCGCACGTATGCACTCATGATGAGGGTAAGAGAAGGGTGGAGGAGAGGAGAATAATAGAGTGTGAGTGAGTGCGAGTGAGTGTGAGGTGAGTATGATATGAGTGAGTGAGTGATGAGTTGATGAGTGTGTGAGTGAGTGTGAGTGAGTGAGAGTGAGTGAGAGTGAGTGAGAGAGAGAGAGAGAGGAGAGTGAGAGAGAGAGGAGAGAGAGAGAGAGAGAGAGAGAGAGAGAGAGAGAGAGAGAGAGAGAGAGAGAGAGAAGAAGAGAGAGAGAGAGAGAGAGAGAAGAGAGAGAAGAGAAGAGAGAGAGAGAGAGAGGAGAGAGAGAGAGAGAAGAGAGAGGAGAGAGAGAGGAGAGGAATGGTAGTTATATATATAAGTATGTATGGGTTAAGTATAGATGGTCAGATAGATAGTATATATATATATAATATATATATATATATATATAATATATATATATATATATATATATATATATACATATATGGATAGATAAAAAGTAAAGATATCGACTGATGAAATATATTATACAAATGGATACAAAGATACAAATGTAGATAGATAGATAGATAGATACATACATACACATCATTAAGTCAAACAAACACACTCTAAAAAAAGAGGGAGAAAAAAAAAACGAAAAACGAAAAACAAATACCCACCCACACGCGCACACCCACATAAATACACTCACGCCCACATCACGCCCGAGCCACTTTTATTACTGGTCCGAGTAGCCCCCCCCCCCCTCTCCTCTCTCTCTCTCTCTCTCCCGGGTCTTTGACAGGGTCTCCGCTGCCACTACCCCCCCCCCCCACCCACCTTTGTAATGGATACCTGCAGAATATGAAGCGGATAACAGGTCTCCCCCTCCCCCCTCCCCTCTTCCTCTTCTTTCTGTTTCTCTCTCCTGTTCTTCAATTGTCTTTCTTTTTAATTTTATCTATTTTTTCAGTTTCCTTTTAATCTTTACTGCTCGTTTTCTTATTTCTCCCTTCTTCATTTTTATTTCTTTTCTTGTTTATCATCCTCTTCCTCTTGATTCTTCTTCTTTTTACTCCTCCCCTTCTTCCTCCTCTTGATTCTTTTTCCTTCTACCTTTTCCCTCCACCCTCTTCTTTTTTTTTCTTTCTCTTTCTCTTCTTTTACTACTTCTTCCTCCTTCTCCTCATTCTCTCCCTCCTCTCCTCTTCTTCCTGTCCCTCCCTTCCTCCTCCTCCCTCTCCCTCCCCCGTACTCCTTCTCCTCCCTCCCTCCTCCCCCTCTTCTTTCTTCTTCCTCCTCCTCTTCCTCCCTCTCCCTTCTCCTCTCCCATCCCCCTTCCCAATCCCCATCCCCCTTTTCCTCCTTTCTCCTCCTCCTCCTCCTACTCCTCTTCTTCCTCCTTCCTCCTCCTCCTCCTCCTTTCTTCCTTCTTCTTCTTCCTCCTATCCTCCTCCTTCTTCTTCTTCTTCCTCCTCCTCCTCCTCCTTTCCCCCACCGACTTTTTCGTCCCCAGCACCCGAGGTTTCACGCCTTCCCAACACCTCGGCGTCAACGGGAAATTGTAATATAAGAGCTGGGCTAAATATTTAACATATTTTTGGAACGTGCTGCGTCTTTTCTTAACTAGTTTTCGTCAAGAAAGAGGGAGAAAGAGAAAGAGAGAGAGAGGGGAGAGGGGGAGGGAAGGAAGGAGGAAGGGAGGAAGGAGGGAGGGAGGAGGGAGAAAAGCAGAAAAGGGAAAAGGAGAGGGAGACAGGGAGGGAGGGAGTAGGGGGGGGGAAGGAGAGAGGGAAGGGGAGATGGAGGGAGGGAGGAGGGAGAAAGCAGAAAGGAGAAAAGGAGAAGGGAGGGAGGAGGGAGGAGGGAGGAGAGGAGAGAGAGAGAGAGAAGAGAGAGAGAGAGAAGAGAAGAGAGAGAGAGAGAGAGAAGGAGAGAGAGGAGAGAGAGGAGAGAGAGAAAGAAGGAGAGAGAGAAGAGAAGAGAGAGAGAGAGAAGGAGAGAGAGAGAGAGAGAGAGAGAGAGAGAGAGAGAGAGAGAGAGAGAGAGAGAGAGAGAGAGAGAGAGAGAGAGAGAGAGAGAGAGAGAGAGAGAGAGAGAGGAGAGAGAGAGAGAGAGAGAGAGAGAGAGAAGAGAGAGAGAGAGAGAAGAGAGGGAGAGAGAGAAATAGATCCACAGACAAACAGACACACAGAGATACAAACACACACACACACACACAGGTAGATAAAACAAACAAATAGATAGACACACAGACGACCAAACAGACAGACAGACAGACAAAAAATGAAGCTTCCCGCCGAAGTTAAAAGTACCTCGACAAACAAGATATTTGCATCCCTCCTCGAAAGACCCAAGGAAGTGCCAAGGCGTTTCGGAGGCGCTGCTGTAGCCGGCAAGACACGGAACTATTTGATTTTCTTTCTTTCTTTCTTTTTCTCATTGATTTCATTCATGCGTTTTCTTTATCGTTTTCTATTTGTTTTATTTAATTTATTGTTATTCTCGATTCATTTCATTCATATTGTTATTTTTTATTTAATTTATCTTTTTTATTCATTTCGCTACTTCGTATATTTCTGTTTTTTTCCTTCATTCACATTCTTGTTACTGTTGTTTTTTTTATTTCATTCATTCTTATTCATATAATCACCTTTTCTTTCTTTTCATTCATTCACTCTTATTATTTCCTTTTATTTCAATTTCATTTATTCACATTCTTATCATCGTTTCACATTTTAACTCCTTTTCTTTTCATTCATCATTTCATTCATCATTTCCTTCCTCTTCCTCCTCTCTTTCTCATTCAAAAACTCATTAATTTTCTTCTTTCCCCCCTCTCGTTCCCTTTTCATTCCATTCATTTACTCTTATTCATTTCCTTCCTTTCACTCTCGTTCCCTTTTCATTCCATTCATTCATTCATTTCCTTCCTTTTCCCTATCTCGTTCTCACTCTAAAATTAATTCATTTCCTTCCTTTTTCTCATTCTAAAATTATTAATTCCTTCCTTTTTCTCATTCTAAAATTAATTAATTTCCTTCCTTTTTATCATTCTAAAATTAATTCATTTCCTTAAATTTTTCGTATTCTAAAATTCATTCATTTCCTTCCTTTCCCCCCTCTCTTTCCCTTTTCATTTCACTCATTCAGTCATTTCTTTCCTTTTTCCCCTCATTCTCATTCTTAAATTCATTTATTTCCCTCCTTTTCCCCTCTCGTTCTCATTCTTAAATTCATTTATTCATTTCCTTCCCTTTTCCCCTCTCGTTCCTTTTTCATTTCACTCATTCACTCACTCCCTTCCTATTTCCCCTTTCGTTCCCTTTCCAT